GACGTTCTTGATGAAATCGTTTTCTCAGAAAAGTAATAGCAAGGTAGTACAATTCTCTTTTCTGCTTGAACTTTCAGTAAGGCATGACATTCTCGGCGATATATAATTAGCGTCTCTCAAATGGTGATCTAGATTCTCATTGGTTAAGAAATTGATAACATTAGCAACTCTAGATTGTTGTTGACAAACGATGAGATGACATAAGCCATTCCTCTCTACTGTAAGAAACGATGTCATTGGTTCCTTGCGTCACTAGTTGACGTCTGTCTCATTTTTATGCCATGTGTATTTCACCCATGAATGAAAAGCTGTAAACTTCAGTACTTATGAGCTAATTTAGCAATCAATGAGAATCTAGGTCACTATTTGAGAAACGCTAATTATGTATAGCCGAGAATGTCACGCCTTATTGAAAGTTAAAAAAGAAAAGAGAATTGTACTAAATGACCAACAATATATTTCCGGTTATTGAATTTCAAATTCAGCAAAAGAAGATGGGCGTATTTGGCGCGTGATATGCAGGAATTAAGCGTATGAAACATTTACATATGTAGTGGTTTAGATTTTTATTTCATAGCCATCGTTTTGTAAATGATATTTTACAAGTATTTGCTGATATTTCAGTCAGATTATTCTATTTATCATTTGTTTTCAGTTGTTACTTACGTAAAACCCCTTTATTATTTGTCGTTTATAAGTTAGGATATGAGTTGACATTCCACATGTTTTACTTTTTAAACAGGAAGTGTCATCCATGTTGGCAGTCGTTCCGTAGTACTTTTGATAGCTGTGTTCTGATTGGTTAACTTAGCTTTAGGATCTTTGATAGTCATTGGTTTTTATTTTGGACCTTGCTAGGGTATTTAAACCCGTGTTCGAGCAGTTTACTTCACTTGGTTAGGGATAAGCCTCATGGCTCATTATCTCTTATTTTATGCCAACCTCAAGGTACACGGCATTATAGGTTTCATTTAGCACGTGCTGAGCGAGCACTTTATGATAGGTTAGGATGTAGGTTTTATAGAATAAAGTTGTATGATAGGTTAGGATGTAGGTTATTTAAAGTAAATTAAGTTTCCCTCTCCAAGTCCTGCCTGGTCTAGGGATATGTAGATAACACGTTTATTTTCTAGAACCACTATTTCTTATTTATTTTTGGGTGTTGTTTATTTTCTGGGTCAGTTATTTTTAGAACCTAGAATTAGCATTGATATTTTCAGTTCAACTCTAGAGTGTTGATAGTAGTCATATTGGGTGATGTAGCTCATTCCTTTTACACTTTTCTAATTCATTCATTTTATAGGATTTTTGACAACTTTCATAAGTATGGAAGCCCAGTAGGAACATAAATTATTTTTCATAGTTTTTTTTCCACATTCCTCTCATTTTCTATTACATTTTTCAATTACTTATTTATTCATTGAGATTATTGTGAATCACCTACCAGATTAAATTACATTTTTGATAAAGCCCTATTAATCCTGTGCAATTTTCAAAGACTTTTCTGTTTGTTAAATTTTGATCATTATTTATTATTTGTTATCATTTACAAAGGTCAATTCTCAGTTTATTAAATTTATAAAACTTACAACTGTGTTTTCATTTAGCGTTGATCATAGTTCAGATATCCCCTTACCTGGGTTGACAATCATAACTGGAGATAGTTCACTGCTTTAAGCCAAGTTGGCTAGTAACTTTGTTAAGTTATTCATTAAAGAGTTCTACTTCCGGTTACACATGTATACTTTAAATGTCTACGATTTGGTCGGCTGACCACAGCTGAACATACTCTACAAAGATACGCACATGGAAAAATGTTACATTTAGCTTGAAATACTTTGTCAAATTAATATATCAGTCCACTTATCTTAATAATTACTACATGTCAAACTTAGTAACACTTGACATATATGATAAACACCTATAGCGTATAGTTAAATGCAATTACATGTATAGAACTAAGTATCGGTAGGTTGGAAGAATTGCTTTCGCTTTCGGTGCAACATAACCAGAATGTATCTATTTAAAAATAAATCAGTACATATAACTAAACAGAAAAACGAATTGATTGTTTGTACTAAAAAAATGTTAACCAAAAATATTTCTTTTTTATTGCACTGGACGGGTAACGCATACTACTGAGCTACCACCGCTTCACACACTTTGTGGTTTTTAAAGCGACAATGAAGCACCGCATTTACACATCAGAATTTTTTTTTGGAAAAAGTTCATTTTTTATCGTCTCTGGGTCTTCTCTCCATTTTTTTTACAAATGTTTGTTAGTTTCTTTGCATTAAAATGCATACAAACAACGTTTCAAAATCATGGAGAGATGACCCAGAGGTAGCAAATTTTTAGAAAAACGTGTTTGAAAATGTAACATTTTGTATCAAATGACTCATCTAGCCTATTTTCAAATTCTTTTTTAGCAAATCAAAATAAAATATCTACATCAAAAGAATGCTAAAATTTCATGTAACAGGTCAATGAAATTTTCACTTTTCAAGTGCGCCCATCAAAAGTTTTAGCTTAGATCACAGAGGGATCATGGAAGAGTAAGATTTTACTTTTCTTTTCAATTCAAAATCCATATTTTTTTGCGCTGTATTGAAATCAAAACGTTGAAATCTGATAACGTCAAGTTGACGTCATTAAGTCATGTAGTGTTATTTTCTAATGAAAACTCCCTATATTTATAGATCTAGAGCTCTCTTGGAGAAATGGTTTGAGATGATTACAAAAATTAAACTGAAGTAGGAAGTGGTCACTCTAGACATGTTTCAAAAACAATTTCATCAGATTTGGGGACAGGGCCGCGATTTTGGCTACTAACGTAGACTATTTTCTTCTTTGGTTTCATTTTTAGATATTTACATTGTTGTACACAAAATGCTGTAATTTTTGTAAATGAATTCTCGTTTCTAAGTAAGAAACGTCTGACCTTGGACCAAAATGACTCTAAAAAATCAGGATCGTTTATTTATTTATTTTTTTTTTAATCAATTAATTTATTCATTGATTAATATTATTATTATTAATTTTGATTGAATACAATGAAATGAATTGAAGTTGTAAAATTTTCCTCTGATTTTTTTCTGTTTTAAATAATAACACAGAATGCTTTCTTCCATTAACCCATAAATCTAAGTCGTTGTTGAATAAATAGTACATACCAAAGCCTATTGTTGTACGCGGAGCACAAACTTCAATGGTTTTGTTTTGCCAAGGATTTATTAGTGATAGGAAAGGACACCAGAACAATTATGTGAAAAGGATGAACAGTTTTTCTTCAATGCTTTTGTATCCCACATCCTTTTACTAGAAGGGCATGTTTGCACTTCCGCCATTGTAGCGCGGGATTCTCTGCAAAACTCTTCATCGTAACTAAGACAAAAATTCTGAAACAAGATGTTTGAGATGATATAGCCTTCTCCCTTTGAAATGAATGTATCCTGGGTCTTACATTTAAGAAATAAAACACTTTTAGAGAGCAAAATGTACAAACATAAAAAAAAAAATATATTTTTGGAAAAAAAAGATAAGAAACGTTGAATTATTAGTTAAGCCACAGAACAAGATTCATGGATGCACTTATTTTTGCCCTTACAAAAAAAAAAAAGAAAAAAAAAAGAAAAAAAAGAAAGAAACTGTAGCAAGTGATTCCCTTGCAAACATCATGCACTGAATAAATTCGCTACATGTAAAGTGACATTAGATAAATAATGTAACCCTTTTATACTTGTATGTACTTGGGTCACACGTGTGTTCGGTGTTAAGTACCTCTTAATCATCTGTTTTTTGTTATTCATGTTTTAGTTGAATGAAATCTCAGATACAATATTGTTTTTATTTAAAAATCTTATTTTCCAATAGGTGTGTGAAACATTTGAAATGATTTGTAGCTGTATGGACTGGATCATTCGAATTTATATTCCCAAATATCTTGTTCACTCTATATTTAATACTAAAATTCTGAACCAGGGTGAGTTTAAGTGCTATTTTTTTTAAACATGCAGATGTTTTTTTTCTCCAATTTTTATTTTGGTACAAAACAAACACCACTTTATTGAACAACATGGAAATCAAATCATGACAGAACAGCATCGGACGGGTTAACTACTGAGATTAACTTCCTGCAAATCCGTGGTATATGAAATCTAGATATGCATACATTATTTTTTAATCGTTTCTACATAACTAGAAGAGTTGTTTTCTGTGAAAATGGGAAGTTTACATCGCTCTAAATTCCCTTTTACTGGCAATGTTTATTGGAGATGGTTGGGGTTATTTGGGGTTTTAACAACCTGAAATGCATGCATAAGTATTTCACAAGGACTTTTCATATTCATATACTCAAAATTGTAATTTTTTGTATATTAAAGATATTAAAAAGGAAGCGTAATTTTCAGTTTTATTATTTTTTAATTTTTGTTAAGTATGAACGTTCTGGGACGTACATACATTTGTGAATTCATATCAAGGAATCAAATGATAATAATATGTTGTGAAATCTATAAATTTACATTTTTTTTAAATAAAGGCATGTAGTTAAACAAACTAGAGAAGTTATGTGCAAGTTTCATCTCCTTGGAAGATTTTGAACCCACACACTTTTAAGACGATTTGCTCATCGAAAATTTTTTGTGTGGAAAAACTAATAGAGTTTTACTTAATTGCATAAATTTCTTTGAAAAATGTTTGTTTTCCTTTTTTACCATACTCAGTTATTATCATGTAAACCCTTTATAGGAACGAAACATTCCACAACTTATGTGTACAAATATCTATCGACTTCTTTTAGTAGGGTAACCATATGGAAAGATTTTACTTGGTAATAAGCATATGATTTATGCTACTGTAATTTAACAATTGTGCCAAAAAGTAAAGTGTTTCCTTTTAATATTTTTTACAGATGAAATAATTAAAGATATATATGTAGGTCTCATTACCCTTATACATGTAAGAACAGATGTTTCTTTAATTTCATGATGGTAATTATTCTTTTATATTCTTTTATACAGTTCCAAGGAGATACACATAGAGAAAAATAACATAAAGCTTTAGACAGGCTGTAGTCGAATCTGCTCCGTTTACCAAGTGATTGAAAGTTAGTGTTTCGTATCTGCAAATATATAAACAGAATCAAATTAGAACTATAAATATATTCATGAAATATTGCAGGGAAAAACAATGACGATAAGTATTTCATTAAAGGTTACTTGATATAAATATAAAGTTTTAATTTTGGAATGTTTTAGATAATTATGTTATTTATTAAATTTGAAGTGATAAATTAATTAATACAAATCATTTTTAGATGTATGAAAAAGGTGAAACTTTTGTAATTAAAAGACACTTAAAAAACAAAATAAACAAACAAAATCATTATTACCTGCTAGCATTCTTAGTACGATGACGATATACAGCTTCATAACATTCGGTATCTAAAATACACATATGTCCATGTATACTACAAAGCAAGAGCTGTAACTGTTATATTTTTCACACAGGTACAACGATTACAGTGTTCGTGTTCTTAATTTCACTATGTTGAAGTATCATTTCATTAATCTTATACAATAATTTGTTTTACCAATTATTTATCAAGTTAAACAGAAAGGTCAATAGATATAGATTTATACAATGACATAAGCTTTATATACTGTACATTTATAGGCATCGGTTGACCAATAGTTGTTTTTACAAGAAGAACACTTATGTGTGTATGAATCCTGTATCCTTCCTCCTAGTGCATTATATTCAGCGCAGAACCCTACAAAGCATAAAAAACCCACCGGATTCCTTTAATTCTACTTTAAATAATAACACAAAATGCTTTTTTTCCATTACCTCATAAATCTAAGTCATTGATGAATAGTACATACCAAAGCCTATCTTTGTACGCGGTGCACAAACTTCAATGGTTTTGTTTTGCCAAGGATTTATTAGACAGTGGTAGGAAAGGACACCAGAACAATTATGTGAAAAGGATGAACAGTTTTTCTTCAATGCTTTTGCATCCCACATCGATTTAGTAGCAGGGCATGTTTGCACTTCCGCCATTGTAGCGCGGGATTCTCTGCAAAACTCTTCATCGTAACTAAGACAAAAATTCTGAAATAAGATGTCGGAGATGATATAGCTTTCTCCCTTTGAAATGAATGTATCCCAGATCTAACATTTGAAAATTTTCTTTATTTTTTACATTTTCTTTCAGAGAGCAAAAAGTACAAAGTAACATAAAATATATTTTGGAAAAAAAAAAGATAAGAAACGTTGAATTATGAGTTAGGCCTCAGAGCAAGAACAAGTACAGAAAAGCAAAGAATTACGACCCCCTCTTTCGGGGTGTCATTAGTTGGGAGTTGGATGCAATGATTTATCATGTTTCTTCTTTTGTCAATTTTAAATTATGGTTAAGGTAGGGCAAACTTCGAGGTTAAGGTCAAGAGTTATAAAAATCATTGCACATTCAGAAAGGTCTTAACATTAGTAATGCATAATTATGTAGTTAACATATAAATTGGGAAAGCATTGTAAAAGCTTCGCGTTAGTCTAAAATTTTTGAAAAGTAAGTTAACTTCAAGGTCATTGTCATCAGGTAAAAATCATGGCCGTTTTGCTGGTCAATGAATTTTGGTAGTTGATAGTGCCCCCAAACTGAAAATATATGTTTGTGCCCCCTAAAAGTGAAATTTCTTCCTACGGGCCTGAAAATCATTGTACCTCTGAAATTTTTTGTCACAGGTAATGTACATGTGAAATATGAGAGCTCTATATATAGTTCTTACATTCAAACATTAAGACCAAAGTTAAAGCTTTTGGGACAAACAAATGGATATAGAGACCATGCAGTACAATAATTGTCAGAATTTGTACAATTAATCAAACAGAAAGATGCACGTTCAATTAGTTAACATGAATTTCTTACAAATATATTATAGTTATGACATTTATTTTTTCTTTGAAACGTTTAATTTTTAAAATATTGCCTTTTAAATTTGATCTTACCTTTAAATAAAACGCCAGGAATACTGTGAGGAAACATTTGGAAGTTCTCGGCCTTAATAAAGATTGATTTCGTTTTCCACAGAGCATCTTGCTGCACTACCTTAAATATTAAAAACACCCTTGAATGTAATTCGAATTAGATTTCTGTTCATAAGAAATATGGTTTCTCATTAATATTGACACATGCAGGAATAAACCGCAATTACAAGAGCAATTACAAAGCTTTAATGAACTTTTTTTTCCAGGCCGAGGTACTTCCCAGGTAGCACAAAACATTTTCAAAACATTTTACTGCAGTTATAAAAAGGTTTTTTCAAAACATTTCAGAGTAAACATTTTTAAAATGTTTTTAAAACATTTTTCTTTCCCATTGTAACATTTTAAAAACATTTTTAAAATGTTTTCAAAATGGTTAAGTTAAAATCTTTAAGGAACATTTCTATAAAATGTTTTTGAAACGTTTTAAAAATGATTTGAAAGGTATGTTTTGTTTGCATATATTAAACAGTTTCATATTACGTTATAAAAATGTTTTTAAAACATGATATAAAACGTTCCTCTTCTATAAATCTGTAACATTGTAATGTTACTTTTCTAAAACATTTTGAAGGAACGTCGTCAAAATGTTTTTAAAACATTCTACATACTGCTTATAGTATAATATTTAAATGTTTTCAGGTGTTGGTCGTGAAAATGTTTTTAAAACATTTAACAAAACGTGTTCTCCTCCTACAACTGAAACATTTTATTTATGATTTATGCAACATTTTATTGAAACATTTTCAAAATGTTTTTAAAACATTTATTAGCTCTACTGGTCAGAGACCAGAAGAGCTTATGCGATAGTAAGGTGTCCGTCGTCCGTCCGTCTGTCTGTCTGTCTGTCTGTCTGTCTGTCCGTCTGTCTGTAAACAATTTTTCAAAACGCTACTCCTCCTACAGTTTTGGTCCGATTTCAATATAACTTGGCACACAAGTAGACTACACTAAGATACATAATTTAGTGCATCGGTTTTTGATTTCGATGGACGGTGTTGCCATGGTTACTAAAAATAGAAATTTCTGTGAAATTCCTTTAAAACGCTACTCCTCCTACAGTTTTGGTCCGATTTCAATATAACTTGGCACACAAGTAAACTACACTAAGATTCATAATTAAGTGCATCGGTTTTTGATTTCGATGGACGGTGTTGCCATGGTTACTAAAAATAGAAATTTCTGTGAAATTCCTTTAAAACGCTACTCCTCCTACAGTTTTGGTCCGATTTCAATATAACTTGGCACACAAGTACACTACACTAAGATACATAATTTAGTGCATCGGTTTTTGATTTCGATGGACGGTGTTGCCATGGTTACTAAAAATAGAAATTTCTGTGAAATTCCTTTAAAACGCTACTCCTCCTACAGTTTTGGTCCGATTTCAATATAACTTGGCACACAAGTACACTACACTAAGATTCATAATTAAGTGCATCGGTTTTTGATTTCGATGGACGGTGTTGCCATGGTTACTAAAAATAGAAATTTCTGTGAAATTCCTTTAAAACGCTACTCCTCCTACAGTTTTGGTCCGATTTCAATATAACTTGGCACACAAGTACACTACACTAAGATACATAATTTAGTGCATCGGTTTTTGATTTCGATGGACGGTGTTGCCATGGTTACTAAAAATAGAAATTTCTGTGAAATTCCTTTAAAACGCTACTCCTCCTACAGTTTTGGTCCGATTTCAATATAACTTGGCACACAAGTACACTACACTAAGATGCATAATTTATTGCATCGGTTTTTGAATTCAATGGACGGTGTTGCCATGGTTACTAAAAATAGAAATTTCTGTGAAATTCCTTTAAAACGCTACTCCTGCTACAGTTTTAGTCTGCTTCTAATATAATTAGGCATACAAGAAGACTATACTAAGATACATAATTTATTGCATTGGTTTTTGAATTCGATGAACAGTGTTGCCATGGTTACTTAAAATAGAAATTTCTGTGAAATTCCTTTAAAACGTTACTCCTCCTACAATTTTGGTCTGATTTCAATCTAATTTGGCACACAGTTAGAATACACTACGATACATAATATGTATTTCTGTTTTTTTTTATTTGGGTGAATGGTGTTGTCATGGTTACCAGTACTAAAAATAGAAATTTCCATGAAATACTTTCAAAACGCTACTACTCCTAGTTTTCATTTGATTTCAATATAACTTGTCACAAAAGTAGACTACATTAAGATACATAATTCTATTTATTGTTGCATGTTGCAATGTTTCAAATCCAAGTGCTACTTTTCTTTTGTTATACAAACAGACCAGTAGAGCTACAGTCTCATCAGAGACTTCTGGTTTCATTTTCAATATTAATGCATTTATTTATTTTCAAATTATGTTGTAAAAATGTTTTTAGAACATTGACTCTAACGTTTATTCTTCTAAAGACTATAACATTTTATTTAGCATTAATGCAACATTTTGTAATGTAATTTTCAAAATGTTTTAAAAATATTCACGACTAACCCAAGTGTCTGAGGAAAAAAAATGCATAGAATATCCAGAGAAGATTGGGATTAAATGAAAAATTGCTTTTAAAAACTTTCTGAAGACATTAATATCACTGCAACTCGATCACTTGCGTATCCCGGTATTTTCTTTCTTTTTTCAATGATACATTTTTTTTTTTTTTAAAAAGCCTTATTGAGTTCACAGACTTGTAATCAATACAAAGTTCATTGAATAAATTTAAGATACTTTAATTTTAAAAAGAAAACAAAATAATAAAAAACTGTTTACAATAATTAACACAGCCTGATTTATGACGGTCTCGCCTGTTTGCATCATATTTCTTAAAATCCAAGGCAGCAGATTAGGATTGGCTTCACTGGTCAGTTTCAGTGTCAAGATAACCTTGTTATGCAATTCTCCTGCTGGGCAGCGCGTTATAGAGTATAGTGGTTTGCAGCTTATCTAGGCCAAAATTTGAATTCTGGTAAACAGGATGTGCGCGTTTTCTTGTCGCTGATTTTCAAACAAGATTTTTGCATCATATAGGCCTGGAGAATGAGCGCCGGATTATTAACATCTGCATTGTGAGTATACTTTAATCAGAGATTTCAAAATATAATTTTTAAAAATAACCTTTATGTTACCAGTACATCATTGTATTTTTGTATGCATATGTGTAGCAAAGACAAAGCTATTATGTATTTGAATTAAATACTTTATTCAACAACAAATATATCTCCTTATCTTATGTTGATCATAATTCAAAATATCTTATTATTGAAACATGAAATCATATTGCAGTTAGATGACAGTTCCAGCAACAGACTTGAATTCCATTCAAATTGCCACATTTGAAAGAACCGCCTCTAGCTGACAAAGACAAAGGCACTTTTTTGTACGTAAATATCATTGCTCTTTATCATAATATTATTGTGTTATAGTTATGAACAAGCAACAACTTTAATTCTTTTCTTAATGCAAATGGGAAAAGTTCTTGTGATTTTATGATTTAATTAAAAAATGTTCTTTTATATTTTCATCATTTAAAGATCTGAAGTAGACGGATGACTTAAACACTGTTGTCTCCATGTTTACAGGTTCTGCTTTACTGAAAAGGTCGAGCGACTTGTTGAATTTTTTCCGAGGACAGACTTCTTGTGAAGTTTTTGTGTGCGATTCCATTTACATAATAGCTAGATCCGCCGCTCTGTGGAACCTACACATATACATGTAGATACATGCTTTTTGCGGGATCGTAATTGATAACAGTGATCTAGGCCTGGTTATTCTTTTTATGGGAAGGATTTGTGTGATTCTGTTGTTTTTAAATTCAGTGAATGGATTTTTATTCTTTAAAAATACCTGTTGGGTTAAAACAATGTAACTCAGAACTTGCACTGGAAATGGAACTAAAATGTGTTTTGCATATTGCATAAGGGTTTGTATTAAAATTTGTAAGAAAAAAATGAATTCATTCAGTTGTCATTTATTCTTTGAGAGTTATAATTAAGATGAAATGTATTAAAAGCGCTCTTAAAATCGTACAAAATGATGTTCTCATGTCATTATTGAAAACGTCTTGACATTTCAGGAAAGAGATGCCATTGCGACATTTGGGTAAAATGTTTTAAACACGTTTTAAAAACCATACAAAATCACGTGAATAAAACATCTGCAAAAATGTTCTTGTAACATTTTAGGAAAATGTTCTGATAACATTTGCTGAAACATTTGGGTAAAATGTTTTAAAAATGTTAAAAAAAACATACAAAATCACGTGATTAAAACATTTTTGGAAAATGTTTTTGTAACATTTTAATTAAATGTTCTGATAACATTTGCTAAAATATTTTGCTGAAATGTTTTAAAAACGTTTAAAAAACCATACAAAATCACGTGATTAAAACATTTTTGAAAAATGTTTTTGTAACATTTTAATTAAATGTTCTGATAACATTTGCTGAAATATTTTGCTGAAATGTTTTAAAAACGTTTAAAAAACCATACAAAATCACGTGATTAAAACATTTTTGAAAATGTTTTTGTAACATTTTGAAAATGTTTTAAAAACATTTTTAAAATGTTTTTGTGCTAGATGGGTTAACATTGTGAAGCATGATACCTCTCTAAACAAATAGTTTAAAAATGATGCAGGGAGATTGAACAATGCATACTTTCATATTTCATCAAATCTTCTTTTTTTCTGCTACTACTAAGATTTCTATGAGAATTTTTCACAAATTTTCACAAAAAGAACTTGCTTCAGAATTTTTAGTACGCCCCCCCCCCCTCCCATCAACACCGATGTTTAAGATTTGGTAAAGAAGCAATTAACATTGCGCCAAGATTATTTTTTTTTATGGAAATGTTCAAGTTACGGTCCAGATCAATTAAAATAGATTTAAACAGAACGTTTGAATTAATTGATACGTGTATGTACCAAAGGTAGGATTTATTATCAAATCCTTCATTGAAAATTTAAATACGCAACCGAGGTAGATTAAACTTATAAACTGAATAACAATAAGCTCAAAAATTCAATATGAAGATGTCTGCCTAAGTAACAAATTATAAA